AATAAACTGCATAACATTGTAAATGATTGTAATTCGAGTTTTAAATTTTACCAATCTAATTTATACCTGAGGACGGTTAAATATAACTGAAACATGTCGTAAGAGAACGTTCCAATTTGTAAATCGATCATTCGATGCGGAACGTGAAATGATATTTTAAATATTTTATATATTCTATTATCTTATTAAAATTGTGATTTGACGGAAAACATTAAAATATGAACTGATTCTGCCATTGTCATGTAGTCTGATTATTTTTTTACTGTCAGCGACGAGATCAGTCTTTTTCTACCCAATTCTGCACCATAACATCTTTTCCAAGGACCTTAGTGGCCAAAGCTATTATTTCCACAGTTTTTTTTTTCTTATTTTCTCATCCTTTTATCCGTGTTATTGTGTTCCGAGCCCCGGTGTCCTTTATTTGTTTTCTCCTTGGTTGACCACCGACCAAGTGCATCGCAGGGCCCAGAGCTCGCTTCTCTACACAAACACGCGGACCCCACGTCGTCCGGCTTATGTTCAACCGCCATGACATCATTCTTAGCTTTCATCTTCTTCTGCTTCTCCTTTTTTTAATTTATTGCCTGGATCTCTTCGGTTTTGTTGTGCGTTTTCGTGAAGATTTTTTGTTGTTGTAATATTTCATGTTGATGTGTCGTTCGTTGTTCGAAGGCTAAATTCTGCGATGATTGTATCCACTTGATGTAGCACGAGAAATTGGGGCCGGGGAGGGGGGCTAGGTAGATCTTGATCTTAAATAAATAAGGTGTGAGAATGTGTGCTGGATTTAATTGGTCCAGATATGGCCCATATGGGACTCTAGTGAACACAGTTAAGAACGTTCGAGAAATTTCTAAACTTCCTGCGCAGATATGAACTTCTGAATGAGAAATTTCCCTCACACTATTACAAATAAATGAAGAAATAAATTAAAGAAATTAAGAACAATATAAGATGTTTTTTTTCCGGGTTGTTGTGCGATGATTACCCCGATGATGGAGGCAGCAAGCTCCTCTGAGACGTCAGTAAACTTCAACCAGACTGCACGGCGCTGTATTCCAGAAGATTGCCATTTACAGACTCACGGCCACGAGAACCTGATCATAAGAGATTGAGCCAACTGAAATCTTTTATCAAACGAAGGGATTACAAAAATAAGAAATAGGAACCCGAACATTGATATCGTACAGAACTTAAAATAATCTGTGTCAACGGATTTGCAGTACTTCAAGTGAAATTGATTTAGTAACACATGCATGCGACTTATAATGTAAATATAGCTGTCATGTGACGTCGCGTGATATTTGAAAAGTTTCCGATCGTTTAACATTGCGTTCCTGAAACCACCGATCGGCCTTTCCCTTGTAGAAGGAAACGAAAACCACGCACATCCTATGGAAGTTATTAACTCGGTCGAAAGCTTGAACATGGACTTACGGTTAACAGTTAATATCACGGGGATACATGACAACATTTTGTACAGTGTCTCTTTGTTTCTTTGTCGATTTCTGTAGCGCGAAAATTTGTCCAAAACTGTTTCATTGCTTCGTAACAGTTTAATGCATAAAACGATTAGTTTTTACCGGACGATACTAGAAAATTAGTCATCAGGAACGTATATTTGTAACATTGTAATAATAAATAAGCAATTTTATTATTTCTGTTTTTGTTGTTTAGGTGCGTCATGTTTGTGTTGAAATTCAGTATATATTTATTTATTATTTCAATCTATATACAAACTTAATTTTTAGAATGTTGTTGTTAAAATTAAAATTAAAATTTAGCGCTTTTCGTCGTTATTACGATGTTACATTTCAGCGCTTATTATTTTACGACATGTTTCGATGCTATTGCATCATCCTCAGGTTTTTATTGTTATTTTCATCTTTAAAACATCGTAATAACGATGAAAAGCGCTAAATTTTAATTTTAATTTTAACAACAACATTCTAAAAATTAAGTTTGTGTATAGACTGAAATAATAAATAAATATATACGTTATTGTTTCTGTTTATTAAAATACCTGCCAAAGAATGCGTGCATTCGCGTGTAATTTGTAGGGGATTTTAAAGTGGATTAACACGCTGTTCTCTGACTCAGCCGTGTCCTGGTAAACGCCTTCCGGCAATTATTGTTATAGAGGCGGACGTAAGAATCTCTGATCCACGCTTGTCTCTTTTGTGTTTAGACCCGGGATTACTTCGCAGCCGGGCGGCCCGACGTGCTACCTGGGGGTCGAGAGTCCCTTGATTCCCCTGCGGAACACCAGGCTACAACCCCGCAACGCTGGGCTGAACCTCCTGTCCGGCGGAAAGAGTCTGTCGCGAGAATGACCTTCGGAGGCCTGGCCTTGGTCGTTGCGGTGAGTAATAAGACGTCTTACCTGCCTCTTGTCCCGAGAAACACCGGGGGTGAATGTGTTGGAGGCGTCGCATACTTGATTTAATGATGATTTAAAGATAATTTTACGTAATGCTGTTAAGTTTTATGTTTTGTGTTGTGTTCTTAAGTTTTAATGAATTCTTCTCGGGCTAGCAGCCGTGTGAGGTAGTTTATTGAAGGAAAAAAAACAACTTTTCGGGAGCCCGAGAAAAATTAATTAAAACTTACTCGCTGTGAAAGCTTCAGATCATACTTTTGTCAAAATGCGACTAACTGAATTCTGTGCAAAGTTTTTGCGAGTTACAACTTCCTATTTTGTGGACCCCTGTTTTGAAACTGAAACAGTATGCGCGATGAGTCCCCAGGCGAACAGGGGAACTCACTAAACTACTTAACGACGTACACGCCGCCCTTCGGCCTGCCTGCAGGCTAATTCTAATATAGCCTTACGTTACGCAGAGACCTCGCGTGTATGAACTATCGTAAGTCCCGTGTATGTTATAAGTAAAATAATTTTTTCGTGTGCTATTCGTTTCTGACTCCGATTATCTTAGTGTCCTTTCTGTTGCTAGAAAAAATTGTTTTATAGTGCGAAAGTGACGTTTTCACTGCGGATTCGTTGCTTGGCAACAGTTTAATTCATAAAGCGATCAGTCCGTCGACTTGGCGGTAAAATGATGTGTCTAAAAGGGAATAGGTTTTTATGTTCGTAAGATAAACTTTGTACGTCTCTCATCTTCGTAAAAGTAAAGTTCTGTATTAATAACGGATACAAGGTTAGCTCTGCGGTACGTGAATTTTTACTGAAGATAGAGAAGAGGTGATGTTAGTGTTTTTCAGATTCACTGCCTGATATGTTAATGTTAACACAATTTTATGTAACTGTAAGATATAATTTTGTGAAATCTGTTATTATATTCAACATCGGAATGTTTATCCACGAAGTGATAAAATGCTGACTGACCTTTGTGTCCGTGTGTGAGGTCATTATTAGATTTAAATTCTGTTGAATATGTAAATATAAACAGTAGAGTGTATATAACTGATGATGTGACTCTGTGTTGAGGTTTCAGCGAGGATTACACTAATCCACTTTGATTCTTTATTTTAACGTGCTAATTTAAAAGCTACAAAAGCCAATTACGGTGAGCACAAGAAGATAAAATACACACAGAGAACGGAAAATGACAAAGAATAACAAGTGAAAACGAAACTAAATTAAATAAACATAATAAATACTTATTTAATTTATGCATATGTTTGACAAAAGATAACCAAACAAGGTCATTTACAGCCAAGCACTAAAAATATGCAAAATAATATAATACGCAAATGTCAGGAGATCAATAAATATCATGCAATAGAAACAAGCAAACAAACAAACAGAAAGAAACTCAATAAAATATAGAATTTGAAGCCCGCATAATTTGGATGAAGAATAAAAATGTAAGCACAGGCGATGTTCTGAAATATCTGTAAGATTTGAGGTTTTCACAGCAGCGGGTATGAAGATTTCTGTCCTCTGGGTTGTTGCGCTGTGTAGACTGGTCGATGTTTACCAACGTTTCGGAGGTCATACTGCCTCCATCATCAGGGCGATGAGTATGAAGATTTCTGTCTTCTGGGTTGTTGCGCTGTGTAGTCTGGTCGATGTTTACCAACGTTTCAGAGGTCATACTGCCTCCATCATCAGGGCGATGAGTATGAAGATTTCTGTCTTCTGGGTTGTTGCGCCCAGACTACACAGCGCAACAACCCAGAAGACAGAAATCTTCATACTCATCGCCCTGATGACGGAGGCAGTATGACCTCTGAAACGTTGGTTAACATCGACCAGACTACACAGCGCAACAACCCAGAAGACAGAAATCTTCTGAAATATCTGTTAGCAAAATATAATCCTTGTTAAAAATGTCGATATACTTGCATTAGTAGCTGAAGGGCTTAGCTGTTGTCTCTCATTATCATATTTGGAAGAACAAGTAATTTTGCTTTTAAGTATATAAAAGCAAAGAGCATTGTTAAGATGCCGCCGCCTGGAATAAACTGTTTAGAGATTCAATCTAGCTGGAGTATCTTCGTCAGCAGAAATTCTGCTGTGGCTTAAGGCATCAAATTCTCGTTGAACTCTTTCAGAGTCTGGACGAATCCGTCATGAAACAGAGTTGTAGCCAAAGATAAACATTGCGGTTGGGTCGTGGAAAAAGGAAAGATAATAAAATTAATCAAACCCAACTTTTTTTAAGTCTTGAAGTTATTATGGTGATGAAAATACAGAATATCCTAAAAATATGTATAAACATTATAATACGAAATATTAACCCTGTGTGTATACATTTTTCAAGAAAATCTGTAGAGCTTACAATTCAACAGATTTCAAGTGGGAACGTAAAACAGTAGTAATTATTCAATTCTTCTTTCTTTCTTTCTTTCTTTCTCTTTTTTTTTAAGTTAGTTAGTTAGATAGTTAGTTAGTGTGTTGTATCAACAGCCAGAAGGCAGTAATATTGTGATCAGTAGAGAGAACTGAGGCAAGGCGATGTGACCTCTATAACCTTGAGTCAGTTAATCTTGAGCGAAATAAGATCTACATCCCCGTCACAGACGCGCGGGGCTGGCGTAGTAATTATCCACTGATCTCGGCCCCAAGTGGAACGCCTGCAACATCATATGCTGTTTACCCTGCAACACTCAGGTGCTGGAGAAGTTGCCGCATCATTACGGCGTATTGTAATTTTCATTATGCAGCTAGCCCCCGCTCTTATGAGTAGTTACGTTTCTGGAGAGAGTTCGTGAAGTGGAATTTTGTAAAGTCAGTCGCTATTTTCCACAAGCGCGTGCTTGTGGCGGTGATCAGGTGAAGTGGTTGAGTGGAGGGGGCATATCCGTGTGTTCGGCAACGACAGAGGTCGGAAACTTGTAAAGGAAAAGAATTGTCTACTGTATTTTCATAAAAATAACTTTTTAAAGAGGTACCCATATTTATAATTGATGCCAGAAAATAAATTATATGGAGGAGATGTAACAAATTATGTTTCAGTTTTTAAGTATAGGTTGCACAATAAATGTGTAAGTTTCCAAATATTATTTCTGCAACGACGATATTAAGTCTGAATAACACTGTTCAACAGCCAAAATATATCGTGGATGAAACTAACCAATTTTTACTAATTTTGAGCTGCTAAACACGAAAATGACATTCATTTTGCATGATTGGTTCGCATTTCGAAGATATTTATACCAAGTTTTTTCGCTCAATTTTCGTAATTTTCAGAATTTTAATGGACTACTTACTTCAGAAACAGCCTGTACAAGGGTGGAGAAGGTTTTATTGCTTCCTGCAGGTCTAGTCAACATCCCTAAGGGATGTTTAATAAATTGGTGTGACGTTCTCGAACGTTTTGGTTTATATTTCAACGATATCCCTTTTGATTTGTAGAATGCAAAAATATTCTGCGAAGCGTGTTTCCAGAGAAAAATGTAATTAAACACTTTATGAAATTCATTGTTCAAGAACTGAGAATAAATAGTGCAGAAAACATTGAAATTCTAGTCCCTAAGAGGTTCGCGAGTCAGACGAGGAAATATTTATGTCGTTTCAGTTTTAATCGACGATTTTTACTAAATGAAAACAGTGCGATATAACCCGGAGGTTAAATTTAATTGCTGGAAATGTAACAGAGTGCAGGATTCGTTCCGTACTTTGCAGTAGACATTATTGTGTTGTGTTGCCTGAACGGATCTTTGCGTTGGCCAGCGGCGTCTGAGGATTTTGTTAGCATTATTTCCATTTATTGATTAATCGTCGTCATATCAACTTAAAGGGTCAGTCCCAGTGACCTGCATCGTCTCCATTGAAATTTCCTATAGTCGTTTTATTGAGTTTTCAGCGGCCCCTTTCCCTCGTGGGCCATAATTCAGAACATTCCTTTGGATGTTGCTGCAATATATTTCTCCTGTCTTTAGTTTTATTTATTATATTATTTATCTATAATTTCTGCCGGTCACAGTTTCTCGGTTTTGAGCGTGGGCCTTCGTCGCTCGGACACTGAGACTGTGGGTTCGAATCCCATTCGAGGCGTGGATGTTTACCGACGCCTTTCTGTGTTGCGCTGTCCTGTATAGAATAGGCCTCGCGACAATCTAATCGCCGTCTTAAGACTCAGTAATTGTGCGGGTTGCTTACGTAATGAATTGTTCTCAGAATAAACAGAGATTATTTTTATAAACATTATTAATCACTTGGTCCTTGTAATGAAGCTATAGAAACTGAATTTTTAAATACGAGGTGCGATCGGAAAGTTTCAAGACTGTGTCAATAGAGGGCGAACTGGATGCATCACACCGACCCTCCTGCGATTTCGGAATGGCGTGTGCATCAAATTTTGCCAAAGACTCGCCAAAACGGCTACGGAAACCTATGAAATGCTAAAGCAAGCATTTGGGGAGTCCGCAATGGGTCGTGCACAAACTTTGGTGTGGCATTCACGTTTTAAAAATGACCGAACCTCTGTCGATGATGACGAGAGTTCTGGACGACCATCTTCGAGCACAACGCCCGAAAATGTTACGAAGATCGACGTCGTACCATCAACGACTTGTGCGACATTGTTGGGACCTGTCAGCTGATTCTAAAGGAAGAACTCCACATGCGACGCATCAAGACAACGCGCCAGCGCACACCGCCCTCAAAGTTCGGCAGTTTTTGGCCTCAAACACAATGGCCGTCATCCCGCCCCCTCCTTATTCGCCGTGTGACTTCTTCCTCTTCCCAAAGATGAAAATTCAGCTAAAGGGAAGGAGATTTGAGACGATAGAAGAGATTCAGGCAGAATCGCAGATGGTGCTTGACAGGCTGACAAAGAAAGATTTCCAGGGATGCTTCCAGGCTTGGCAGCGGCGCTGGGATCGTTGTGTTCACTCCCAGGGGAACTACTTCGAGGGTGATGGATGAATTTAATACCTGAGATAAGTGCACGGGTTTTTATACGCGCAGTCTGGAAACCTTCCGATCGCACCTCGTATCCGATCGCACCTCGTATTATGTAGATACGTTTTTGGTTCTGAAACACTAAGAAACGGGTTATGAAATGATATTAGCTGAAGTGTGTAAGCTTTAAAACGTATTACTAGTCTTAAAATGGAGACAGACAGTCACGTAACTCGAACGAGGATGAAGAGACAAGCGGAAATGGCGGTAGTAAATTTTATAAATTGTTTTATTTCTATTCGCCTTTTACTTACATCTTTGACTCTTGTAGCTGAAATTGAAATTATTTTAGACGAAAAAAAAATATAGGACATTTAACACGGAATTTGCTTAATCATTCGTACCAATAATAGAAGTACCTCAGTAGAGATACTTTATTATGCTTATTAATTCGATAAATTTTATGCTGGAAGTTGGCGATAAAATTGTAAGGTTGAATTCCTTACCAATATCACATTTCTCTGTTTATCATATTCTGAGCCAGTTGAATCCAGTGGACACTGTCACATTCTGTAACTTCTGTGTTATTTCAAAAATACAACAAGGTCTACCATGTGGTATATTAAATGTTTGCTGAAGAGTGCAAATCACGGTTCAGTGGTTGGGGGCTTGTTTTCTGGAGTTCCCGGGTTCAAATCTAGGTTTTATGTGGTTTTCATAAACCCACGAGGTATGTTCCGGGATATTAACTTGAATATGTAGTAACGGCTTCCTTACACATCCTTTCCAGTTCATTATTCACTAAGCTTATATACGAGGCGCGTCCCAAAAGTAAGTTTCCCTGGGGCCGTTTACAGAAACAAAACACAGTTTCATGGAAATATTTATTGCAACAGACACAGCAAGTGTCCAGTTATTTTTCAACATATTCGCCACCGGAATTGAGACATTTGTCATACCGTGGGACCAACTTTTGAATACCTGTGTCGTAGAAGTCTGCCGCCTGGGATTGGAACCACTGTGTGACAACCATCTCCGCCTCTCTGTCATTCTCAAAACGCTGACGCTGACCGGACAGGAATTTCTTGAGGTGTAGGAAAAGATGGAAATCACTGGGAGCGAGGTCCGGGCTGTAGGGTGAATGATCAAACACCTCCCAGCTGAACTCCTGCAGGAGACTCGCTGTCCGTCGAGCCCGCGCAATATAAGGTTTGCTAGCTGTGGGACGAGTGGGAAACTTACTTTTGGGACGCGCCTCGTAATTATATCAGTTGAGGCCTCATTAAATAAACCAGGAATGGGCTAAAATGAAGTTCCTTATTATTAATTGCATTCCGTAATGTTACTTTACCTCTCTTATGTCCGAAAACAGACACCACTAAGCTCTTTACGTAAAAAATACCGGGGCTATTTTTCTTAGTGCAAAGCTGAATACGTAGAGCTTCGCCCACTCACCGTGCGCCGCCGTGAAGTGCGAATTTTGTTCGAGACCAGCTTATCACTTCAGGCACGAGAGTAAATCTACTTTCATCTGTGTACACATGTCTCACTCTAGTTTCAAATTATGTCACATATAATTTCTAATTAGCTGTCACAGTATTTAAACGTTGTGTGTCGCGACCGTCAAAACCGCGAGACGCGGTGGTGCAGCGTACTAACAGTGAGTGGAATAGTCAATAGACGTCAGGGTGGTGTTATGTACATTCATATGCAATATTTGTCTTCATGAACATCACAGATTGAAGTTTTCGGTTACAGGGATTAGAAATGGACACCGTAGAATCTTCTACCCCCCTTTTTTTTTTGCAGAATTGGCGTCGGAATGAAGTTCGTAGATTTTCTTTGCAAATGTTCCGGCAATTTGTTTTAATCTTGTATTAAGTCATTGTTTTATTATGATTTATGGAAAACTGTTAATATTCATGAGGATATTTCGTCTGCGCTGGAATGTGGTTTGTTTTATATTGGTTTAGTCTGCTCTATTTTTTGTGTGTATACCTGATTGGCTCTTTGTTTTATTTAGTTTTATTTTGTATTATGAAGCTCATAAATAGTTAAATTTTTATTATTTGATTATAGTTATGCATATTCATAATATCTTTATTTAGTTTAATATTCATCGTCATTCTGTATTCTGCCACCTCTCTAAGCAAACGCATGTCTTCCGACTCCATTTTTATATTTGTTCTTTCTTTAACGTCCAAAATTCGGGGCCCCATATAAAGGCACAAATATAGCTGTTACATTTAGCATTCTTTACCACCGTGATATGTGACGTTGAAATATTGTACCATGTAAATTAAATCGCCTGTGTATGAACTGACGTGAAGTGGATTTTTGTAGGGTCCAGTTGTGGGCAGGAAGTTTCTTCGTCTGTTTCGTCTGGTTTGGTCGTTTGGATTTATTTTGTCGTGTTTACACTCAGCCTGCCATTGACGATCAACCGCTTTGTGTTGCAGTCTCTCACTCGGCATCGGCCGAGGCCCGCCTCCAGGACTCGACAGTTCTCCCGCAGTTACCCCTCGTCAACTGTGGGCCCCAGTCCGGACCCGTCTTCTCCCGTTACAGATGAAGAGGTAAGTTAAATCATCATCGCCCTGATGACGGAGGCAATATGACCTCTGAAACGTTGGTAAACATCGACCAGACTACACAGCGCAACAACCCAGAAGACAGAAATCTTCATACTGACCGCTGTGAAAACCTCAAATCGTACATTTTTACTCCAGTTTCCGTGGATCTCCCCTCCCCGGTCTGTTGCCTAAGAACACTAACTCTGACAGGTGGACCTCTTGTGTTCATGTCCCTGAAGAGTCCCTTGTTTTTGTTTTTTTCAAATAGTGTTTTGTCTGAGGACAGGTCCATATGAACAGGATCCTTCCATCCTTTTCTCGGACTGGGACCTGTTCATATACGTTCTTGGCAGATGATCCAGAAGTGGTTTGCCATTGCCTTCTTCTGTGTGTATGGAGTAATGAGTAATTGTTGGGATGCCACGGAGAAACCGGGGAAGCCCCCGGAGGAAAACTCCGGGTTGCCTAGACCACGGCCTTGCCCAACAAAAAATAATGTTATTAAGACGGCTATAATTAGCGTCTCAAATATACAACTCTTAAATAAGGTACCATTACCTATCGTCACTTCAGGTACAAGAATTTGCAACATGGAACATAGGAGTAGAAAATGTTTGTTACATTCAGTGGGGAAGGATCTCACCAGATACAGTAGGATGGTTCCCAGTGTGTTGAATAACGAGCCATGGAATAGCACAGGAACTTGTTTCTGGTAGTCGAAACACCTGGAAAGTGATCTGTCTGGTAGATACGTTGTGGAGGTTCCAAGTCTGAGAGTACAGGGCTGTATCACCACGGCAGAATCATCAGACGCAAGCAGATGAGGCAGTCTTGCATTCGCGAGTGGCTTGACTGACAACCAAGGAGATGTTCGTAGCATCATTCTTTCTCTACAGCGAATTGGTGATGTT